CCATACCGTGAAAAGTTAACACCCGTACATGTACACGTGAGCGATTGATGGGAAAGTGCATATATATTCTTCTAAAAAGCGGAAAATATCAGGATAGGAGCGTTTTAGTGCGTTTGATTAGTTTAATCGTTCTACATAATCAAAAGCCTTGCACCCCCCCCCCTCCAAAAAAAAAAAAAAAGGAAAGTAAACTTAACACTCTTTCAACAGTCTCCAAAGTTATCGATCATTTTAACATTGTGATGTAAGGAGAGGGATACATGTAGTAGGCTTACACTTATCAATGATGATGAAATGTATGATGAAATGTATTGTCTTTTAGAGTGACATATGTCAGTTGATTCGACTTATATATTACAGAAGCACCAAAGAATTTTTTTTTTTCAGTTAATCTAAATCCATTTACATATCAATAAAAAGGAAAGCGAGTGCGTGGTGGTTTATTTTTATCATTATTATTATATGACTGTTTATATATGCTCTATATGTATAAAACATGTACAATAACAACTAGCCAAGCCAGCTAAATACTTCTATATTCATTAAACCAGTAATAGCCCTATATGTTCGTTATTTGTTCAGATATCTGGCGGATATACGTGTCCCGTGTGTATTGCAGGTTGAGCAAGATAATAGTTATTTTGTTGGCAGGCAAAAGGAAAAATGCTATTTTTATGTTATATTTTCATATGCCAGAAAACAAAAATCAAGTTTCATTTTTTTTTTTTTTTCAGTTCCAGTGACCTGACAAAGCTACGGTTCTAACTTCCGATTGGAGCAAAGAATCCCCTAACAAGTCCCGAAAAAACACCTCAATAAATACAATCACCCCAAAAATCAACAAACAAATGTTATCTCTTTAGAACCGTGTCTGTTGCGGATCGTGTCCGGGTGGAAAAAACACCTCGTCACGTTCAGCCGACTGTCTGGTTTGCGAGCTATGGGCGCTACTCGGCGAGGTCATTCCGCTCACTACCCTCGTTTGCGGCACACTCAATGGCTCGTCGTATACGCTCCTGGCGACCAAAACTTCCCTATCCTGGTCGCGATCGAGGTTCGCTGCAATACTCCCAGCGGGGTACAAAGCAACATGAGAGGTGCTTGTCGCTCGGACGAGATCCACGTCGTGGTGGGGGCTTCTTTTGCTTGCAGCCATCGTGGACGAACTGTCGGCAACCACGTTCCGCCCCACGATAACTTCGCGAGAATCTCGTTTGCTCGGGCTCATGACGTGGCTCGGTCTTATTGAGAGATTGTAGACGGCGTGTGGATCGTTGACTGGTGGGTACAGGACCTCCTCGAGCATTCTAGCGGTAGGTCCTGCGGTGTTGTAGGAGTAGTGGCTCGGGGCGTAGATAGATTCTTTGTCGTCTGCTGGTCGTTGGAGGGTTTCTGTGTATATCGTCTTTTTTTTCTTTCTTGGCTGAAACGGAAGAAGAAAAATAAAAAATGAGGCGAGTGAACAATTTTGTACATCTTTCTTTCTAAGGGCCATAATAATAATAATAATAATAATAATAATATTTTAAACCACTCTACACAAACTTCTCTTCGTTGATAAAGATACGGTATCATCAAAATCATAAATATAACGCACTAATTTATAATCCTTTAAGTTAATTTTTTTTTATTTTCCTTTAAAGATATCATAATTGCAGTTAAGAGACATTTTGGACAAATTTGACCATAACCCTGGAACTGCAATCTGGAAACTCCCTTCTCTGTATGTCTTCAGATTTGCCTGCGGTGTGACAGGAATGGTAGCCCTATATGGAAGTCCGGGCTCCCATATGATAAGTACAGGGTTATTTGGAGTATTGGGGTTAGTATATTGGACGAATGTCACCTGTACAAAGCAATGGGAAGCGGACTACGGTTCCTAGCGGTCTTATATTCCTGTCACAGCGGCACTGTGTACACATTATGGCTGCATTCACAACAGTGACTAACTAGGTCGCGGGCCAAATGTAGCGACCGACTACAAAGCTTGCCGTCTAACTTGCTAATAGACACTGAATAGATTCCCCGTGGGGAAGCATTGGGTCGGCCATATTTGATCCGTGGACTAGTTAGTCCGCTGTTCTGAATGCGGCCTATGTCCACTCACCCATGTGTGCCAGGCCATGAGGTCCTCATCGCCAGTGTCCAGAGATCTCATGTAGCTGACCACTATCACATAGGAGTGGATCTACAGCGTAAAACATAGGGAAAAAGTAAACAGAAAAATCGAGCCTTGACTGGAGACCATTTTGAAGCCAAGTTAAAACTTATTTAATCGCAAAGGAATGTGGATTTTATCAAAGATTTTATTTGCATACACTGTATAGACATGTTTACATATGTTTGTTGCTGAATTTGATGTTCATATAATATCAAATATTGTTAAAGCCCAAACTTTGAAAGGAGATAGTGTGTAAAAATTCCTTCTTCAAAGGTTCGTAGAGAGGATTTAAGTAACATGTACCATCATTACGGGACTACTTACAGTTATGCCTAAAACTACACCAAACACCACTGCCAGAATGATGCCAACATACCAACTGATGCCTACAATTGTAAAACTCTGGTGAAACAAACAAAATTAGTGTTTAGGACGGTCAGATGTACGTATTCATTTTTAAATACCTAATTTATTTAAATTAATTAAAAACCTTTTATACGAATGCATGAAGGACGTATAGGAAATAAAAATAAATTATTTAAGTATCATTTGTTACTTACTGAGGGGATAGAGAAGGGCAAATACCACCACAAAATGCATTAGACATGCAATTACCGTCATCAACAGCCAGGGGAAAAACAGGCAAGAGACTTTCTGTGAAATAAAAAAATATTATTCTATTGAATCCTTGTCAAGGCGTTGCTGGTTGATGTGAATGTTGCTTTCAAGCGCTGCTTTACTTCTTCGGGGATGTGAGATCGACTTGGAATCACAATAGGGAGATTTATACATTTTTACAAAAAAACTTGAGTCAGGTGCCCTGGCTAAGAACTTAATTACCAAGGTTACGTGGTCATATGGACATCTCAACATATCAAAAGCAGTATAACGGCACTCTCATGGAAACCCTAGTCAACTAAGGCGGGGAACTGACTTAAGATTTTTTTTGTGAAACTGGGGCAAGGCTTAGACGTATATTTAGTTATAAGGTGGAATTGTTTCTCGGATATTGTCACCCAAGCTCACCGTCAATACTCCAACCAAGAGGATGACAGCTGTTATGAGCCAAACGGCCGAGATGACCAACATGATACATATCGCTATGAACACCCAGTCTAAGAGGACCTGTAACACTGAAACGAAAGAAAACAAGTCCGCATTAAACAATGAATAAATTATGAAGTTAGGACAACTTAGCTTCACTCGGTGACTTTTGAAATATTGATGGCTTTTACTTCATTCATATATCTATGGTGTATGTTAACAATCTCGATTCGTGGAGAAGTAAAATGACCAAATACCCGGGTCATTTGTGGCCGAGGGATATTAGAGAACGAATGGGGTTGGATTTATTCTGATTTTTTGTTCAAGGCAAAGATTTGCACGTTGTTGTTGTAATAATAATTATTATTATAAAACTTCGTTTCCACTGAACGCCAAAACTCAGATATGTGGCCGTATATTCGGCTAAATGACGGGTCAAAAAGAAAACTGATCTAAAAAGAAATATTCTGTACCTGAGTTTTAATTACAACCGCATTAGTACCGATGACGCCAGGAAGACTAATTAATCATGCATTTTCCATCTATAATCCCGTTTAAACCCATTAAGAGCACATAGTCTTACCTGTGGTGGGCCACAAAGCAATCGTCACTATGCACGCTGCTAATAACAAGGCGCTCCATATCTTGAAATTGAAGCGGAACAAAAAATTACAACAATACAAGACAAAGCAGGTCTATATTTTGAAAGAAACACACAGTTCTTATCTCTATATCAATTCACATTGCTTTAGAAATACGTTTTAACTTTAAAAACAATTGAAGAGCCGTATAAATTCTACGCGCACAAGTTTATGTGAAATTATAATGCAAATCACAGTCGCAAGACGACATAATACTCTGTTACGTGCATGATTTATGTTCCACGCACACTTAACCCGACTGCTGTCAAAGCAGCCGGCTCTGCATGAGTAGAAATAAACAGACTTGTAAAGTCTGCATAAGTACATGTTCTGGACAGTCAACTGTACTGTGATCTTCAGACCTTTCCAGTCCTGAGTGGCCTTCGCGATGTCGTCTCCTACTTTTTTAGGTGACAAACCGAGAGGTCCAATCTTGGGGGCCAAAGCAGAAGTGGCTCCTACTTCACCTCCTACAGCACGGAGGTAGATGATCTTAATTTCATTTGGATCGAACTTAGGAGGCATTCTTGTATTTATTTGCTGGTTGTAGAAGCAAGAATGGTCGGACTAGGTGTTGGATGAGCCCGATTTGGACACTACCAAAAAAGTTGCACCTGGCCGACGAATATGGCGAGTAAAGAGCAGGTCATGACTTCATAGACGTTCACTGCTGGGCGGCATTTTTTTTTTTTTTTTTTT